TTTCTATACCTCGATGAGCGTGTGGGTGGCCGTTCGGACCGGTCACGGGAGATGTGAGATTTTGCTCAGGTTGTGGCGGACTGTGAGTTAATTGATGCTGGATGTAAGGGTAAGCCCTTCACATGGTTTAGGGATGACCTCAAAGAAAGGCTCGACCGTGCCTTGGTTTCTGAGGCGTGGGCGAAGGTGTTTGCGGTCACGGCCGTCACGCATGTCACTTAATTTAGGTCTGACCATTCACCCCTTCTCAATAGGTGTCGAATTTTGAGCACCCCCCGCCGCGATTCCTTTAGGTTCCAGAACATGTGGGTTTGCCGCCGCTCTTTCCACGACACTGTCAGAGATTCCTGGCTTTAGCCGACTGGGCTCTTTGGGATGCGCAATCTCGAGGCAAAGCTCGGCAGACTGAGGCGTAGGTTGAGAAAGTGGAACGGGGATGTTTTTAGAAACCTCCATCAACGCCATTCTGCGGCTCAGAGTGCACACACGAAGGCTGAGCGGGCCTATGACCTGGATCCCACTTCTGAGAATAGGACTGCGATGCACCGCTGCCATGCCGAGTACCAGCTCCGACTCCTTATAGAGGTGGATTTCTGGAAGCAGAAGGCGGCCGTTCGCTAGGTGGCCCAGGGCGAGCAGAACTCTAGGTTCTTCCAGGGCTTCGTTAGACATAAGCGTGTTAAATCGTACATCCATAGTATTGAGGCTAATGGGTCATCCCTGACCCAGGAGTCTCAGACTCAGGAGTCGGTTGTTGCTCAATTCCAGACCCTCTTCACATTTGATAGAGGGTCCCTCGTTGCCCCGACTGCCTCTTTCTTCCCTACCATTCCCCCTTTGATCGATCTTGTCGGCCTCTGTAAGCTCCCGAGTAGGGAGGAGGTTAGGGATGCTATTTTCGGGATTTATCCCAACAGCGTTTTTGGCCCTGATGGTTTTTCTTCTCTCTTCTATCAAGTCTGCTGGGATATAGTCGAGCCTGATGTTGAGGAGGCAATGTTGGATTTCTTCTACGGTCACCGGATGCCGGATTCCTTCACGTCTACCTCTGTCTCCCTGATTCCCAAAAGATCCAATCCGAGCTCTTGGTCCGACTACAGGTCCATCAGCGTGTGTAACGTGACCAATAAGCTTATTTCAAAAAATTTTAATGGTTGTCTTTCTCCTATTCTCCCCTCCCTCATCTCTCCGAACCAGAGTGGTTTTGTCAAGGATCGGGTCATTTGTGATAACATACTTTTGGCCCAGGAGATGATCTGACGCAGCATCCGACATCGGGTTTGAAAAGAAACGAAGCAGGCCTTATATGAGGATGTGGATACCTTCACTAGTAAGACGCGTTTTGGTGGGTGTGTATTGAAGCCCAGCCAAGAACAAAGCCGTGCNNNNTGGACAATTCTCCGGCCAATGCAGCATTCCACATCGGGTTTGAAAGGAAACGAAGCAGGCCTTATATAAGGATGTGGATACCTTCACTAGTAAGACGCGTTTTGGTGGGTGTGTATTGAAGCCCAGCCAAGAACAAAGTCGTGCGGGTTGCGGAAGTAGCCCAAAGCGGACAATATCTTACTAGGGTCTGCATCAGTTGGTATCAGAGCCAGCCCATGTGCCAGTGGTGACCGTTGGGCCCACAAGGGGGGGTGGATGATGCAGCATCCCACATCGGGTTTGAAAGGAAACGAAGCAGGCCTTATATGAGGATGTGGATACCTTCACTAGTAAGACGCGTTTTGGTGGGTGTGTATTGAAGCCCAGCCAAGAACAAAGCTGTGCGGGTGGCGGAAGTAGCCCAAAGCAGACAATATCTTACTAGGGTCTGCACCATGATCCACGATATCTCCCATGCAGATTGTAAGCGGGCACCGAACATTGCATTGAAGCTAGACATGGCTAAGGCGTATGATAGGGTGGAATGGCCGTTTTTTAGGGAGGCACTGGCTAGGATGGTATTTCTCGAGCAGTGGATCAGTTTTGTAGAGGCGTGTGTGGAGCACTGTATGTTCTCGTTCCTGGTTAATGGTTGCCCCACCGATTTCTTTCCCTCCTCTAGAGGCCTTAGACAAGGAGACCCCCTTACCCCGTCCCTTTTCGTTCTTGCGGCGGAATACCTCTCTCGCTGCCTCGACGACTTCATCCGCGACTATCCACGGATGACGTACAACACCCGTGGCTATGGTCCTCCCATCTCGCACCTATCTTATGCGGATGGCATCATCATCTTCACCCGGGTGGATGATGATGGGTTGATCGAGCTCATGCACCTTCTGGAGCACTATAGCTCGGTTACTGGCCAACTGATCAGTGTGCAGAAGAGCACCTTCACCCTCTCCTCCTCCAGTGCGGACAAATGGGCTCAGCGGATCCACGAGATCACTGGCTTTGTGCGCGGCGACCTTCCCATTACCTACCTTGGTGCCCCTTTATATAAGGGCAACCTCACGAGAGCGCTCTTTGCGGGCATATGGCAGAGGATGATCGACTGGATTTCTGGTTGGTCGCCTAGACATCTTTCTTTCGGTGGTCGGCTTGCGATGATCAAGAGCACCCTTAGCTCTCTTCCGCTTCACTTACCTGTGGTCCTCGACCCCCTAGGTCTAGTCTTGACGAGATTGACCAGATCATGGCTCATTATTTATGGGGCTACGAGGATGGTTCCGGGAGGGGGAGACATACACACTGGGTGAGTTGGGACTCTATCTGCCGCCCTTTTTCTGAGGGTGGTCTCGGCATCCGCCTCCTCAGGGATATTGTTACTGCCTTGTCCTACAAGTTGTGGTGGCGATTCAGGGAAGGAAAATCGCTTTGGGCCCAGTACCTTCGCGGCAAGTACTGCTCTAGACGCGCCAACCGTCCTTGTTGAGTGACGACGGTTGATCATGATAGCATACAGTGGCGGCGCCCAGGATCACATCTTT